GAGGCAGCAGGGTCACAAGTATGAAGGCAGCATAGACAGCTTAGTGACAGCCAGTCTCAAAACAAAAAGAAAAGGGCTTTCTTGGGCTGGAAGGGACGTGGCAGGCGCAGTGTCCTTACCTAGCGTGGGAGAGGCCCAGTGCCCACGCCTGGGACTTGCGGCCTCTAGCCCAGTTCTCTCTCGTGCCCGCTGATGCTTCAGTGTGCCTTTTTTCCTCTCACTTTTCAAGGCTCTGATAAAGTTCAAGAGTTACTTATATTTTGAGGAGAAAGATTTCGTGGATAAAGCCGAGAAGAGCCTGAAGCAGACTCCTCACAGTGAGGTGAGTGAGTCTTGGTCCCCAAATCTGCAGAGTCGCAAGGAAATGGAAAGCCCAAGGGAGAGTGGTAGGCTTTCAGGGAACACCCCAGCCACAGCTCCTCCCGGGGTGCCCGCTGCTACCAGCAGGGCGGTGCCTGTCGGAGCGCTTCATACAGAAAAGGCAGAACAGGAGTGCCTTGGGACGAAGATCTGAGCCTAATCCACTGTCCACATCCTTTAGTGGTCCCTCAGCTGAGGCAGCGCAGTGCGGAGGGGCCTTGCAGTGCGGCCCGGGGTGAGCGCAGGTGGCTGTGCAGCTCAGTGCCCTGCAAAGGCCCTGGCTCCCTCCCTGTGCAGGGTCCCCGCACCGTCCGGAAAGGTAGCCTTCCCGAGCTGGCCTCAAGGGCCAAAGCCCAAGAGGAAGGAGAGGAGGGAGGCAGAACCTTCTGAAGAGAGCTGAAAATGTGCTGCTGTGCTGTGCCAGGCATGGGCATGGTGCACCCCTGTCCAAGCAGTTTGGGAAGCAGAGGCAGGAGGATCACAATTTGGATTGGCAATTCAGCAAAAAATAAAAAATGGAAAAGGCTGAGGATAAGTCCAGTGTGAAGGTTCTGACTATAATTCCCAATATCATTAACACACACATGCACAGAGTAAAAATAAAAAATGAGAAGAGTAAAAATGCTGTGGCTTTACTTAGGGTAGGAATGGAAAGTATAAAGGAGTATATGAAAACTAAAACTCCAGTTGTTTTAGGGAAAAAAATAATACATAAAGGAAACAGTTGGGCCTGGGATATAGCTCAGGCATAGCACCTGTCTAGCAAGCATGAGGTCATAAGTTCAATTCCTGGTACCAAAAAAAAAAAAAAGGAAACAGTTACTTTAGGTATGATAACAGCTAGAGAATACAGCCAGAGGGAAGGTAGTTCTTGCTGGGAAGAGAAAGAATCTTTTCTGAAGATCCTCTCTCTTTTGTGGTTGAAGAAACATTCGGGAAATAATTACAGGAAAGAAATCATAAAGAAAACAAGGGTTCAGCCAGGAATGGTGGCACATGCCTTTGATCCCAGCACTCGGGGAGCCTGAGCAGGTGGATTCTGCAAGATGAAGGCCAGCCTGGGCTACATAGTGAGTTCAAGGCCAGCCTGAGCTCTACAGAGACCTTGTCTCAGAAAAAAAGATGAGGCTTCATCTTCTACAACAGAAGACTCTAAAAAATTTCAAAGTTAAAAAAAAAAGAGAATTTGATGGCAGGAAAAAGAAAAAAAGAGTAGAAAAATAAGCTTCAGTCGGTTTAGTTCCAAGGGATCTGGAAGGCTTGCCTGTTTCTCTTAGGTAAAATCTGATAAATAATCTAATGTAGAGCCATTTGGTGACATGGAATCTAGAAAGCAAATAAACCTGAAGTGAACTGGATTAGTACACATTTATCTTACTGTTACTTGGAGAAATTGAAAGTACCATGTAAATTCAAGATACTGCTCTGGCATAACCCACAGGCTGTTCTTGGAGTACAGCATACTGTTGTTAGTCTGGAAGCAGCACTTCCATGTTCTCCAAGTGAGTTCTTTTGTTTGTTCTTTTTTAAAATTCTGAATTGAAACCATGATTTTTGTTTCAGATAATATTTTATAAAAACGGTGTCAATCAAGGAGTGGCTTACAAAGATATTTTTGAGGGGGTTTACTTTCCAGCTATCTCACTGTACAAGAGCTGCACGGTATGTATGCTGTGTTCATCCTGTAACAAAGAGTACGATTGGTTCTGAGCCCTTGGGAGGTTGAGGCAGGAGGATCACTATGAGTTTGAGACCAGTCTGGGCTACATAGGGTTCAAGGCCAGCCTGACCTACTTAGTGAGACCTTGTCTCAAAAAAAAAAAAAAAAAAAAGAAAGGAACAATCATTGGGGGCCTGTTTGCCTTTAAAAAAAAAAAAGCTAACCCATGGAGATTTCCATACATTTTAGTCTGTCAGTAGCACCAGTTAAAAAGGTAAAATAAATAACAGAAACTAACACAGATCGAGCAAAGCAACCACGTTGCTTTGAAAACAGCCAAAATAAAAAAAAAGGAAAAAAAGAAACAAATACAGCTCGATTTTTCCCCAGTTTGGGATGGTGCCAGGGAGTTGTGTTTGTGTTCTGAGCATCCTAGCTGTGTTCACAGTGGAAACGTTCGCATGTGAAAATGACATCTTGGTGTTTTTCCATGTCTACCTGAACCGAATGGACTGCAGGTCTCCATTAACTTTGGGCCGTGCTTCAAGTACCCTCCCAAGGACCTCACCTACCACCCGGTGAGTAGCACTAGCAGCCCGAGCCCCAGGCCCCCCATCATGCTCCACTCACCCCCATCTGTCCCCTGCAGATGAGCGACATGGGCTGGGGCGCCGTGGTCGAGCACACGCTGGCCGACGTCCTGTATCACGTGGAGACGGAAGTGGACGGGAGGCGCAGTCCACCCTGGGAGCCCTGATGAGTCTGTGAGCTTTCTGGACAGGGAGACTGGGGTTTTGCATTTGAATTCTCAACGTCCACCCAAAGATGCCACAGAGCACAGCTCTGCTCCAGACAGTTATCTGCCCCTCCTCACCTTCTGTGACACTCTGTTTCCTGTGCCATACACCACCTGCTGACCCCAGGACCTTGCCATACAACTGGTGCTGTCTCCTGTCCCTGCCAGCAGGGACTCGATACCTTACCACATTTTCTAGGAGCCAGTGCTCTGGTCTTGAGAGTTAACTTACTGGAGAGACATTTCCTTCTGCAGGCACTAACTGTGCACCCGGCACCTGGGGTGGTGGGGCTGCTTCTGTGAACTGGAACCTGGCAGCGTGTTCCAGAGCCATCTAGAAGCAGTTTCCTTTTGGTGCGAGTTTGTCTGTTGGTTTTGGAACACATCTTTCATCCCCAGAATCTCTGAAATGGCGCAGTCTCTAGAACTGTACTGTGAAAGGGACTTAGCTTCGCACAGAATAAGATCTCTTCTCCAAATAAAACTTGCCTCTGGTTTGTGTGGCACTTGGCTTCTCTCAAGCTGATTCTCTTAGGGGCAGTGTCTGAAATGTCAATGAGGAAAGGACCAGCTCGGTGGAAGAGACAGGTTTGGGGTGTGTAGCTCCCCTGGGCTCACTTTGTTCTCGCTGGCCAAGTCCAGCACCCTGTGAAAGCTGGACTCTCAAAACTGTAAGGAGGCCAGCGGTTTCTCGGCTCTTCCTTGGACACAGTGTTGTGTAAGCAGGCTTGGAACAGTTGGTGGTGGAGGTGCAGGCTCTGGCTGGGCTGTAGCTCGGTGGGTGAGCGGTGCCCCAGCCCGTGCAGGACCCCAAGTTCAGCCCCCAGTACTGTTCTGGGAAACCAGTGCAGCTTGCAGAATCCTGAAACCTGGAAGGAGGCGGAAGCTTCCTTTGGGGTCTCTTTCCAGCTTCCTAGCCCCCTCCTTGGATCCACAGAGCGAATGGCAGATACAGCACCCCAGTGGGATGGGGGTGCTCGAAGATACTGCATGCCACTGTCACCTGGGTTAGTGAGGAGAATGCTTTAACAGGTGAGATGTTGTCAAAAAAATCGCTGCATAGCATGCCTGCAGCTCTGCTGAACATCTTATTTTTGTTTTTGCCAAAAACTTCCCAAGTTCAAGTACATTTTGGGATCATAACACAGTAACGTTGACAATTTTCTCTTTAATGAGCGGTCCAGACTGCTTGTTTCCTCTGCTCCAGTTTTGCTCTGTTTAGGACGCGCTGTATGGTTCAGGCTGGCTTTAAATGCACTATGCCCTGATTGGCATGCTTTGAAATTTTGTTGTAGTTTTCTCTCTTTTTTTATATTTTATTTTATTTCTCCTTGAAATAAAATGGATTTGAAAATGAAAAAGAAAAAAAGTGCTATGTAGCCCAGGCTGACCTCAAACTTGAGACAATCCTCTGCCTCAGCCTCCTGGATGCTGGGGTTACAAGCGTATGCCACCTCACCCAGCTCTTGTCCATTCTACATCTTAACAGAAAACCACAGAGTCAGTATAACTGTAGGCTGAAGGCTCAGTCTGTCAGATTCTAGACACCTACTGATGCATGGCACTGATCTTAGAAGACAGACTGCCAGGTGTGCACACCTATAATCCCAGTACTCAGGAGGCTGAGGCAGAATGATTGATGCAAGTTCAAAGCTAGCCTAGGCTACATAATGAGTTCAAGATCAGTCTAGGGGCTGGGGATTTAGCTCGGTATGAGCACCTGCCTGGCAAACTCAAGATTGTAAGTTTGATCCCTGGTACCAAAAGAAAAAAAGACCATACTACACACTGAGGTCCTGTTTCTTCTAGATTATCCAAACAGGGTGATTTGTCTTGTCTTGTTTTGTTTTGTTTTTTGAGACAGGGTCTTGCTATACAGTTTAGGCTGGCCTTGAGCTCAATTTGTAGCCCAGGCTGTTCTTGAACTTGTGACAATCCTCCTGCCTCAGTCTCCCAAGTGCTGGGATTACAGGTGTGAGCCACCAAGCCTGGCCTAGAGGATGGTATTTTATAAAATTAGGATGTACATGTCTTTGACCTTCATAAATTAGAGGTTGCAGAAAGGAATTTTCTTTCTAATACTTTATATTCAAGAGAACATGTTTCCATGCTCATGCATTAAGATCTATTGGAAGAGCTCAGAGAATACTCGTCGTCTAATTCTACACATTTTCTGTAATCAGATTATCAGGAACAGCTTATTTTATTCAAATGTAAAATTAAACAAGTAGGAAAAATATCTCCTACACATCAGAAGGACACAGTTACATAGTTTGAAGAACCATTACAACCCAGCCTAAAACTAGTGTCTGCTGAAACCACACTCCTCTCCCAGCTGTTCTTCTGAACCAGCACTCATGTTGCTGTGCCAGCCTGTAAGCAAGCAATCCTCGGCAAGGAGTGGGCCGTGAGCGCTGTGAAAATGCGTCTCCACCACTGCCCCTCAGTCAGGAGCGCCGACATAAACAGGGATTTCCCCTAAGCTAAAAACAGACTAAGTAAAGTCATCAGAATAAATTACAATAAATATTTTTTTCAGCTGTTAAGTTTTAATATCGCAATAAATACCAGGATGTCCACTAGTGTTGTGTTGTTTAATAAATAAGCTAGGACCCTATTTCCAAACGGTATAAGTCCTCAGAGCTATTAAAACTAGACTGGAAAAGCTCCAGGTGCAAGTAATTTCTTTATCCTACTTAAATTTAGTGGAGAACTTTCTTGTGTATGTGTGTGTGTGTCTGTCTGTCTGTCTGTGGTTTGAGACTGTTGCTGTGTGTCTGCACTGGCCGTAGATTCACTGTGTAGCCAAGGCTGCCCTGGAAAACTCAGTTTTCCTGCCTTAGCCTCCTGAGTGCTGGGGTTACAGTGTGCACCATCCCACCTGGCTCCAATTCTGCTTTTAAAGCATAGCTTTTCTGTATAATGGAAAGGGAAACCAGCTACTAGCTTACTATCCCTCTTCCAGCGGCTGCCTCTCCCAAAATGCTACAATTTTAACCTTGCAAGCAGAGAAGTTGGCTGCTCTGAGCCAAATTGACAGCTATGAAATTCTTTTAGTATTGTACTATTTGGCATCATCCTAAACACGTTAACTTTATCTTAGTGGTGTTTATTATCCCATTTGATACTATCCTTTTAAGTAGATCAGCTGCAGTTACAATCATCTTCAAGGAGCCCACAAATCAGCTCAGATACAAAGTGTCTTACTGATTTAGGTGTGTGCTTATGAAAATTACTTTTTTATGAAAGATTTTGGTAACATTCTAAATAATTGATATGAATCTGCAATATTTCTTTCCTTTTAATGAGATTTAGTTTAAATATTTGTCTAGGACCCTTCTAGGATGAGATTATACTCTTATTAGACTATATTTTCTTTAATAACTAAAACAAGTAGAGACTGAAGGTCTCATGTTAGTTATGGCTCTATTCTGACTAGTGTTGTGGAATGAGTAATGAGACCAACCTAATCCTCAGTGCAGGAGCAGGAGCCCCTGGTAAGAGCCTGCACTGTCCGTACCTTGCCTGCAGGGAGAGGAATTCCTGAGTCCAGTTTTTGCCTTTAGCACCCGCTTTAGTGGCTTTAGTACAGACACTAGCATTCGAAAGATGGTTTTAGTTGGGCATTTAAGAGCCCAGAAGAATTTGTAACCAGTGTCTTGGGAGCTTAGCCTACATTCAGAGCTAGCTACTCATGGACCAAGTGAGAGGTCTGTCTGTCTGAGAGAGAGCATGCCTGCTATTATCTTGGTGCTAACACTGTGAATAGTGCAGGCCTTATCACACCCTAGACTCCCCAACCCTCCCAGCTGCAGGTGAAGCTCTTAGACTTGCAGGCTTCTGGCAGGGGCGTCCCAGGTGCAGGCAATTGGGAGCTGCAGGCTGCTGGCTAACATCGGGCTTCAGCAGTGGGGCTGGACTCCAGGCGCTTGCGCAGGTGGTTGGCAAAATCCATCTGGGTCTGTGATAAGACCTGGTTGATGATAGTCTTTGGCAGCCAACCCTGGAGCAGAAGACAGGAATATGACCATCACTGGCTCTACTCCACACCTCTGTCCCTGTCACACACATGGACTGCCTGGGGTGTGGCCCTCCAGCTCTGTTTATAGGTGTGGCCTTGGAGTTGCCCAGACTGCTTTGCTCAAAGGTTATGATGAAATCAAAAGCCCAGGATTCGCTCTTAAGACAAAAATCCAGCCCTGTCTTCACAGTTGTGTGTGTGACCTTGAGCAATCTACATTTACATCACCTCGCACTGAAATTTCAAGGGTTAAATTTATTTTTTATGGGGTTTTTTTTTTTCCTTTGAGACAGTCTCAGTCTGTAATTTAGGCTGTTGCAAACCAGTCTCAGACTCACTGCAATCTCCCTAGCTCAGCCTTCTGAGTGCTGATGTTACAAGTGTGATATGGTACCACATCCAGCGTGAGACGGTCTCACTATGTAGCTGAGGCTGGATTTCCACTCACAGTCCTGCTGTCTTAGTTCCCGACGCTGGGATTGAGGTGTGCACCTGGCTGCTAGCTTCCTTTTTTCTGAGTGATAGCAAAGACTTGAAATGGGATGTGAGCGCGTGGTGGAATAGGACCTGCCACCGAGCGTCACTTCTCTCCCCAGCGGCCCGTGCCTGTCACTGCAGGAAGGGAGTCTGTGTGTGGTGTGCATGAGGGGAACCAGCTGGGTTTCCTCTCCACCTCTCACCTTGAGGTCGATGCTGAGCAGCCAGGTGAGCTTGGTCTTTGCAGGGTTCCCTGCCAGCGGATGGAGGACCATGCAGGTGGGGCGCTGCTCAGCTCTGACGGATGAATAGAGATCAAGTCAGGACAATCAGTTTTCTCTCCTGATGACTATAATTTATTCCACCACATTTCTGGAGCACCTTGTCCTCTTTCCAAATCTCATCACAAGTCCCCTTTACCAGTGGCCATAAGTGATGGTTGGCGTGGTTACAAGACATGGTTACAGCAGCTCTTCAGAATCAGTGTGCTAGTGGGGAACCTGGAGCCTGCTGCTTCGCCCTTTGGTTGATAAGCAGGAAGGGGTCAGGAACAGCTGCTCCTGCCTCAGTATCCCCAGTGCTCAGATTACAGGCATGTACCACTTCAAACCAGCCAGAAAATGAGAATGTTTTGTAAAAGGAACCTAAGGATAGGGCCCAGGACTCATTTCTCAGAGCTAGGACTGCATGCATACCATGGCCTGTGCAGAGAAGAGGTCCCCAAGCCTGCTGCCAGTCTCACCTGATGACACCTTTCTGCTCAGGCATGTCCCCGAAGTGTGTGGCCACACCCGCCAGCACGCAAGTGGAGCCTCTGCGCTTAGCGCAGCGCACGCTCACGAAGTCTCGAGGCCCCACCAGGTTTCCCGCTGCTTCTGCGGCCAACTCGTGGGTAATGACAGTGTCTTTTCCAATCTTCTGTAGGATCTGTCAGGCCCCAGGGAAGCCAGATCACACTCCCGTCAGGGCCAGGCTCTGGCCCATCATGGGGTCTTCACGGGCCTGCCTTTCAGACTACTCTGCTGGGCCCCTCCCCTCTGTGGGCTCCCCTTACCTTAAGCTCCTTGACATTTGGGTTCCACTCCCCCATCGCCTCCATGCGATCCACAAGTTCTTCGTAAAGCCTGTCCATGGGCTGGTCTACCACCACCTCCAGCCGGAACACCTTGCCCACATCTGGGACCACCTTGCTCAGCACTTTGTCTCCATTTGCCTGCCAGGAGGAAATGGAGCTCTAGGGTAGTGGTTCAAGGGAAATATTCCTAGCCTGTGTCTCAAGACAGCTCGAGGCAAGGTTGGGAGAGGCCCAACAAAAGGAAATCCCAGCTGAGCGTGAGGACACCTAGGCCTGTCTGGTTCAAAGAGCAGTAATAATCATTCCTGCCAGGGGCTGGACATCTGCTGAGGGCTGAGAGAGGTAACCCGCTTGCCCCGGGCCCTTTGGTTGGCAGGTGTTGATATGGGTAGGTCCAGCTGAAAAGACCAATACCTGACTGCAGGAGCTCAGGTCCTGAAAGAACTTGGCGTGGGAAAAGTCTGGTTTGTGATCAGCTGATTGATTATACTGTGTAAGCAGAACTTTGGTGGCATCTTCAGGGCTTTGCTTTTTGTTGTCATTTCATTGTTTTCTCTCAGTTAAATATATCACATCAGAAGGATTTCAGGCCAGAGGTGTTCACTGAGCCCTTAGCAAAGCTCAGCACTGGGCCTAAGATCCCAGACTTGCTGTTATTCCCCTTAGAGAACCCGAGGAAAGATCTTCTTAGGATTTAGGTAGGGAACAGCATGTAAGCTGTTGCTAAAGATAAAGCCACAAAGTCTCTGACAAGAGTCGGTGGCTTTGGGGACAGGCCTTATTACTGGTCCCCAGTAAGCACCCCAGACAGTTTTGGGCCACTTGCAGCCCCCAGCTCAAGGTGGCTGAGCACAGTGTGTTTGGAGCTTGGACCGTGGGCCTGAGTGATTTGGCTGCATGTGGAACCCCTATCTCAGAGTTTCTGCATAATGGAAGTACATTGTATTTGAACAGGAGCTAAGAGTATAGGAACAGTGTTTCTCCATCAAGGCTCTCACAGGAAGGAGGGTTCCTGAGCGAATGTATTCTTTTTTTTTTTTTTTTTAACTTTTTATCGGTACCAGGGATCGAACTCACGACCTCCTGCTTGCAAGGCAGGTGCTTATGCCGCTGAGCAAAATCCCCAGCCCCGAGAATGTATTCTTGGGAAGTTAAAACTCCACGCTGCTGAGTGACTACTGAGGGAGATGAGGCCCTGGGAGTGTCACTACAGCTTCTCCACTGCACACTTACCTGCTGGCTCTCCTTCTTCCAGCCCTCCTGGTTGCTGAGGATGCCCAGGGCCTTCTGCATGGCCTCCTCCCCCTGCTGGATGTAGGCCAGCTCCTGATCACTGTAGAGAGGCTCCTCCAGCAGAGAACCTGGACCCCCAGTCAAGGAGAGACAGTGTTCTTCCCTGTCCTGGCCTCCCACCAGCTACCATCCTTTAGATCTCCCTTGGACATGCTCCTCCCTCAGGAGATCTGAGACCAGTGCCAAGGGGTCCTGCACACAGACCCAGGTAGCCATGGGACTTGGCCTTGAGGAGCTATGGGCTGGGAACACTTTCAGAACAAGGTGGGGAAGGGCAGGAGGGGGTCAGAGCCTTGGGCGCCCACTGGCATCCTGAGAGCCTCCCCTGCCAGCAACCCAGAAGCCAAAGGACTTACCCAGCAATGAGCTCTGGCGCCGGACCTGATTAATCCATACACCCGGGGCTGGATCTCCCCGAACTCTGCGGTTCAGCTCCTGGCCAATGGCCAGCACTGCCTGGTGCCTCAGCCCTGTAGGAAGGGAGCGAGACTGTTTCCAAGGAGCTGGAAAACCACTCAGAGGGACCATTCCTGCTTAGGAGCAGACTCCTAGGAGGGCAGTGCCCCAGTGGCCAGTTTAGTATAGTACACTTTGCCCTACACAGGTTACTTCCAGGGCCCAGAAATCTGTTTCCACCTGGGTGGACAAATCTGCTGGAGAAGCTGACCAGGGCTTGCTGCAGAAGCTGTATTCAGCCAAGAAAATTCTACTTGCTGAAAAAGAAAGCTGTCCCCTGAACCAGGTACTCGCCAGTGGGGAGGGTCCTGAGCCAGGCTGCTCCTGTGGGTGCAGCCAGGGTGGCCACACTGCTGGCTGTAGTTCTGAGCAGGGCTTCCAAGCTCATTCAGCTGGGTAATGGGAAGAAGATTCCTCCAGAATGAGTTTTTCTCCCTTCAGTGGAAGTGAGGGATTAACCCAAATGGCCTTCTCTCCTATGAGCTCCAGAAAAGCGGCTTCTGCTGGCCCTGGCTGTGCACCTTGACCCATACCCTGTCACTTGCTCCTCACCTCGCTCTCCCAGTCTCACTCTCTGGCTGCCCTGCCCCCTTCCCTGCCCACAGCTCAGGCTTGCTGGAATCAAGACAGACTTCTCCCTCCACCACTGTGGCCCAGACTTTCCCAGCCTCAGAAGGAGCCTCGTCCAGTCATGAAGGAGGCAGTCAGGAGCACATTAAGAATAGCTGGAGCCCTAGAATGGCAACCAGAAAGCAGGGAATTCAGAAGAGACATGAGCATCTTGTATCCTGCCCAGTTCTTCAAATGGGGAAACGAGGGCCCGGCTGGCCCAGCCCTGCACCTGGTACTGTCCCTTAAGGACCCTTGCGTCCCACAGCTGGCACTCACCCTTCATGTTGCGCATATGTCTGTAGGAGCTGCCAGCACACAGTTTGAATGTGGCGAGAAGCATTGTGCCCAGAAGGTATGGTGGTGCTGCTGCTGCTCCTCTCAGGGCAGCTTCTGGAACCTCTCAAGGTCCACCTGTGTCCAGCAGCTGCAGTCTGCACCATGCATGCTGCTCCTTAAATGTCCCAGGCTGAAGGCTATGCGTCATCCCTGGGAGATAAAAAAGCCATTGCTTGCGGTGCAGAGGAAAGGGTCAAGGAGAGAGAGATTGCCTCATGCTGCTGCCCTGACCTTTTGGGGGTGGGGGAGTGGGGCTTGCAGGAGGGAGTGGGGAACTTGGTGCTGATTCTGCAAAAGAAGGGGGAGAACAGTGGCAGCTAAACAGAAGCTGTGAGATGAGGACACACTGTACTGTGCCTGTCGAAAGTTGAAAATACAGATTTCCAACCCTGTCCTCAGGCTCCAGGCTCAGTGGGTCTGCAACTGAGACTCGAAGCCTGCATGCAGGAGATAATGTCCCCGCAGGAGCAGGCCAGCTGTCCTGGAGCTGGTCCACTACACTCAGCACCCTGCTGGTCCAAGAAAGCAAGCAGGGTCTGCAGAGAACAGAGGAAATAAGGATGCCCCTGACCTCAGCAGATGGGGAGCCTAAGATCTGAAAGTAGAAACAACTTGGTCATGGTCAGACCTCTGGTCAGCGTTGGGCTGGGACACCCCCACGAGTCTGCTGGCCTTTAGTCCATCTGCACATGGTTCCTTGCATGGCCCCTTGGACCCCATGTGTGTGCAACCCGTCATTATTTGCCCACCCACTGAAAAACCCTCCGTGAAAGCCCCATACTGAGCACATTCTCTTCATAGGGTTTGTGCCAGAGCAAGGATGACCCTGGGATTGAAGGAGTTCAGCCCGTAAGTTCCTAAAGCAGAGTCACCTTGGTTGAGGCCACACTCTATTCCTATTTCTGGATCCCTAGTCCAGAGGCTGACTTAGGGCCCTGTCAAATTAGGTTCTTCTTTCTGCTTCCTGAGAGTTTGATCAGACACGAGGGGCTGTGGAATGAGAACAGAATCTCTTCAGTATGGCCACACTGGGAAAGAACAGGGACCAGTGTCCTCAGGCCTGTCCTTGGGCGGGGGGTGGGGGGTGATAATAGCTCTGGGACTATTCCACGGATGGACAGAAGTGGGACCATGATCTAGCAGTGGTGACGAAGCCCGAGTCTAGTTGATTGTTGTCTCACAGCTGGTTCTGCGCTGTCCTGACTTGTGGAAATCCTTGCTGATGGAGGAGCTACGGGGCTTAGGTCATGAGAAGGTTACATCTGGCTTGGGGTGGAGCCAGGGTCTCTAAGCAATCAGGGCTTGCTGTTTCTGGAATGTTAGATAAGCTGGGAAGGACTTTGAAGAAGAACAAGCTGGAGGGGTAAAGTAGAGTCACTGAGGACAACAACCCTGGTCCCTCCTCAGGGGATCAAAGGATGATTTCAAAGGCACCTGCCCTGCCCCGCTTTAGGCTCTCCTGGGTAGCAGAGCTGGGCAGGTTGTGCTAAGGGGCTTGGCATGTATAGAAAGGTGAGAAAGCCAGAGTGCTGGGGGCTCACCCCAGTCTTCACCCCAGGGGTGCCCTGCATTGCCAAGTAAGAACTCAGGAAGCACTGAGTGCCTTTGTGAGTCCCAAGCACCACCTCACCGCACAGGGACAGATCCACTTGAAGCCAGTGACTGGGCTGTGCGAGACAGCAGGAAAAGACAAGGTGTGCAGAGAAGGGAGTTTATTTAGATCACAGGCCACTGTGAAGGGGGGTGGCAGGCAAGCTTCAAGTGGGGACTCACACCAGGTGGCGGGTTTAGTGAGGGTATGGAAAGAGGGTGTATGGGGGCTGGGGATTTAGCTCAGCGGCATGAGCACCTGTGTTGCAAGCAGTCAGTCGTGAGTTTGATCCCTGGTACCGATAAAAATGAAAATGACAAAAAAAAAAGAAAAGAAAGAGGGTGTATGCAGCAAGGGTGACTGGCTAAGTCATGTCCCCCGCAGATGGCTCAGCACTGCCGATCTCCCAGGAGCGCTTGTCCTGAGTTCAGGGCTCTGTGTTCACAGCTGTGACTCTGACAACCCCACTGCCTAGGGCCTTTAGCTGCAGCAGAGAAGGTAATGCACAGGTCTATGTATGTCTTCTAGAGAAGAGGGGTCAGGACTCTTTGGAAGGTAAGAATGGGACTTTCTCATCAGCAGTTTTGATCCCACCTGGGACTGCCTAGGGAGAGCGAATGTCTAAGTCTAGTTCCTCTCTTCAGAGAGTCAGCCCTTGTTGCCGGTGTGGCCACTGTACACTGTTCTGCTGAACTTGAGGCTGATTTGAAGCCAGATCCACCTGTCAGGAATACTGGGAGTGGAAACATTCACACCAGCTCTGCCCCTGGCCCAGGCCTTGCCTTCTGTGCGCCAGCAGCCTGCGTCCTTCACCACTGCTGGGAGGTGGGGGAGGCCAGTGCCACGGTGCTCGCACTCCTGCCGGTCCTTCGCACAGATGGCAAGGAAGGGTAGGGTCCGACAGAACTGGGCCATGCCTGGAGCCTAAGGGCAGGTGAGGCCTGCAGCCCCATGTCACCCATGGCCAAGCATCTAGGGGTCCTGTAAGCAGCAGCTGCTGGATGTACAGGCTCGTCCTCAGGGCCCCTGCAGCACCCTCTTCTGCAAAGCCTCTTTGGACCACCCCAACCTGGAGGAGTGGCTTGTGCCTCTGTGAAGGACCCTTCCTCCTGGCAGGGCCACCCCTGAGTCCTGATGTACATGTGATAGGTGGGTATCATGTCCATGTCAGCTGTCAAAGCCAGCCCTCACCCCAACACTCAGCTCCAGGGAGATACAGCCTGGACTCTCATTCCTCCTCCACTGAGTGACCAACTGGGGACACAGCTAGGCTCCAGCTCCTCTTTTTTTGTTTGTTTGTTTGTTTGTTTTCTTCCTTTTTATCAGTACCAGGGATCGAACTCACGACTGCCTGTTTGCAAGGCAGGCACTTAGGCCGCTGGGCTAAATCCCCAGCCCCTCCAGCTCCTTTGATTTAGGAACCTGCCCGTGAGCCCCATTTCCAGCCCTTAAAGCCTCCAGAAAAGACCCCTACTCGCATTTCATCTTTCCTTCCAAAGGCACAGAGCAGCAGTGGCCACGGGTGTCTGCAGGTGTCAGCACACGTGCAGCCTCGCAGACACGTGTCTTCCTGGGCAGAGGCAGGGGTTATTATGGGACAGGCCATGCAGATAATGCTCAAGGCCGAGCTGTCAGCGTCCTATGCAGAGCCACAGCCATGTACAGGAAGGAGGAGGGGGTGTGGGCAAGGCAAACCCCTGCCACTGCTGCTGTCACAGGCTGCCCAACTCAGGGTGGGCAGGCTGGGTGACCTCCAGCGCCAAGTTTCCTGTCCTCTCTTCAGCCTCTCCAGCTGAATGACCAGTTAACTGTTGCCATCCCTCTAAGCATTAGGGCGACAGAGTCATCAGGGAATTTCCTCTGTTTCTGGAAGTTACCAGAACTTCCTGGCCCTCAATAAGGGAAGAGGAGGAAATGGGATGAACACAGCAGGTCAGTAGGACCTGCCTTAGTCAGTGTGCAGGAACACGGGAGGAAGGGGGCCTCCATTTGAGCAGAGATCCCATACTGATATTGACTGTGCAGCTCTGCACTGTGATCTTGTGACAGGACCATGTGACCAGCAGTGACCAGCACGAACAGCTGGAGAGCAGATGAGCCCTTCGTAAGTATAGACTAGAATGCTGATTCCACAGGAGAGGAGTGTGATTGGGAGGAGGAAGGGGTGCTTTTCTGGGAGGCTGGGGACAGAAGGTGTGGTGAGGATGTCCTGGGTGTAAACATGGGCAACAATGTGGAGAAGGGCTGTGAGCCCTGAGAGCTGGACGGCTATGCCTGTGGTGGAGAGGTTGGAGGCTGTCACAGAGGGAGAGGCGAAGGGTGTGATGGAAAGGACTGGGGCAGAGCATGGAAGTGGAAGTGCCTACCTCTTGCCTGACCCTGACCCTGACCTGGTCATGTTCAGAAAACACAGGGTTTGTGTTCAGACCTCCAATGCTGGCCCCACTATCGGACTTCATGACTGTCATGGATATTTTTTTTTAAAGACAGAATCTTCGTATATAGTTCAGGCTGGCCTTGAACTCATGACAACCTGCTTCAGCCTCCTGTGTGCTGAGATTCAGGCAGATGCCACTACGCCAGGCCCCACATTTTTACCTTAACACGGGGTTATGTTTTTTCTTTTTGCCATATTGGAGACTGAACCCAGGGCCTTTGCACTGAGCTATATCTCCAGGCTTTTGGTTGTTTGTCATGTTGAGACAGTGCATTGTCAGCTTCCCCATCACTGGAATGGAAATTTAAGTGAGGAGAGGTTTATCTGGCTCTGTTTAGTGGGTTTAGTCCTAAATCAGCTAGTTCTAGAGTTGGAAACAGCATGGAGGAAGTGTTTCAGGCAGTTGAGTTAGACAGAAATATTATAGGCAGTCAGACAGGGCTGGGCTCTCCAAGGAGCCAGTGCAGAAGACCAGATACCTTGTGACTTTGAAGGATAGAGACACCTGTTGTGGAACAAATCTCAACATAAAAGGCAAAACAAATGCAACCATACCCTAAGTATAAACATCAGGGATTGATATTATAAATAGGTATCAATCACCTTGAGGAAGCCAGAAGGAGCCACTAATTCAACCCCTACAGGCAAAGTTCCTGTTCCCACTTGCTTCCCTTATTGGATCCTGATTTAATTGATCTTATTTGAGCAATTATGCTCATAATCTTATTGGTTGACCATAGCTCTGTACCACCTCATGCCCAACTTGCAAGTTCCATTTTTCCCCATCTTGGGAGCCCCCTCAGCTCATGGTTTTGCAACACAGAATTTCAAGACGCGACAACAGGAAATCAACGTGTGTGTGTGTGTGTGTGTGTGTGTGTGTGTGTGTGCATTCTGCTCTTAATCTCCATTGTTGCTAAAATTGATTCTTTGATTTTAGAGAATATGAATCCATACCAAACATCTAATAGATTGAGTATTTCTTTCCCCTATATCAGAAGGACCAAGGAATTTATTTTATTATGTGTATTGATATTAACAGCTATATTTTTTGTATCAAGGATCAAACTCATGACCTCACGCTTGCCAACCAGGTACTTATGCCACTGAGCTAAATCCCCAGCCCTGAACAGCTACTTTTAAGAAAATAAGACATTATGGTAACCATTGCTGAATTTCCATTGTTTTGGTTTTGAAGTCCAAAAATACTTTTATTCTTTTTTTATTGGTTTTAGGCTTCTCTATTATTTGATTTCAATATGCACAAAGATATGGACAGCTATTTTGAAGAGAACAAGAAACATTATGGTAGCTATCGCTGATTTTCCTATTGTCTGGTTTTGAAGGCCCATAATACTTTCATTCTTTTGTTTTGATCAGTTTTATACTTTTCTGTTTTGTTTGAATTCATTGTGTGTGAAGATATGGACAACTGTTTTGGGAAGAACAGGAGACACTGTTCTCCTGGCCATGGTTGATTTCCTGGTGTCGCGTCTTGAAATTCTGTGTTGCTTGCATTGTTTTGTTCTGATCTGCTTTGTTCTGTTTTGTTTTGTTCTGTTTTCTTTTAAGATAGATCAAAAAGAACGTATCAGAAGGAGCTGGCTGGGGAAGCTGCTTAGTTTATGGTGGCTGGAGCAGAACCCAGGGACAGTGCCAGAGAGGAGGGGGCAAGGGACCACATACAGACCCAAGGTCACATGCTCATGGCCTAACCAGACATAGCCCAGGGCATGATTTACTAATTTGTTACCAGTTTTCCCCAAAATGAGACCAGGTCTAATTTAATTTTTGCTCCATCAGATGCAGTAGGGCTTGTTTTCAGAGGAAGTCTTATTTTTTCATGTACAAAAATCCACATTTATTCATGAACAAAAATCTACATTTATTCAAATATAGACATGTCCTCTTCTTCGGGAACATCCTAACTCTCTAAACCCCAAATTCCTGCCTGAATTCCCAGTGGCTCCATTTCCTGTAGAACCATTGGCTCTGGTCCCTCAGTCCAGCAATCGAACGCTCCTCCCATGAGCTCATCGTGTCCTGGAGCCTGTGTGCAGATTCACATTGGACACAGCTGTTTGTTATCAGTGGTGCGTTATTTGTGCATCGTATCTCTACTTCAGTTGGTCATTCAGCAGTGAGTCTCAAATTCATCCGTTTATGTAGGCAGGTTCCCCTCACCCCAAAGTTGCGCGCTTGGGTATTTAGAAATACCTAATTATAATTTATTTATTTATATTTTAAATATTAATTTCTTTTTTTTTTTTTTTCCATTTTTACCGGTACCAGGGATTGAACTCACCTTACAAGGCAGGTGCTTATGCCGCTGAGCTAAATCCCCAGCCCCTTGAATATTAATTTCAATAAAAATTTTGTTTATATTTAATTATATATTAATATTACTTTATAATTCAATACATCCATTGTGCATTGCAATAAGCATATGAAATGTTTTCTTTGGGCTGATGATCTTTTTTTGTTTTGTCTTTTTCCTTTTTACCAGTACGAGGGATTGAACTCACAACTGCCTGCTTGCAAGGCAGGCGCTTATGCCGCTGAGCTAAATCCCCAGCCCCTGGGCTGATGATCTTAACTGGGGCTTATTTTGGAGGCAGGGCTTATATTATAGGTATCCTGAGAAATCATGGTAGGGCTTATTTTCCAGTTAGGTCTTACTTTGGGGGAAAGGTGGTAGGGTTTTTTGTTTTGATTTTTGTCTTTTTTTGGAGACAGGGTTTCACTATGCAGTTCAGGCTGGCCTTGAACTAACTTTGAGCCCAGGTTGGCCTTGAACTCAACAATTCTCCTCTCCCAGAGTGCTGGGCTTACAGGTTGTGTGCCACCCTGCCTGGCCAGGAAGTTGACATCGTAGACTTACCCATTAACAGATAGGGTCCCTCTAAATTGCCCAGGTGAGGTTCGGACTTGTTATGCTGCTGCCTCAGCCTCCCATACTGCTGGGATTTTAAGTGTGCATCACCCTAATTAGAAGATAAGCAGTAGCGTGATTTTTCAAGCAGCAAGCTGGACTCTTAGATTTCCTTGGTTAGGGATTTTGGTAGAGAACATTGTTTTAAAGCATTTGGTCTCTCTCTCTCTCTCTTTTTCTCTATACTGGGAATCAAACTCACAACCTTGTGCTTGCCAGGCGCTTTGCTGCTGAGCTATATCCCCAGCCCTTTCACCATGGGCTCTTTGAGGGCTCACCATGCAGTTCAGGCTGGCCTTGAGCTCACTTTGTAGCCCAGGCTGGTCTCAAACTTGCAAGAATCCTGCTGCCTTTGTTCTTCACAGAACAGTACGCTAATGCAGGGAGAGCTGCTATTGTACGTGACCTCTACAATTTTTTTCCCCTTCTTTTCTTTTTTCTGATACCGGGGATCGAACTCGTGACCGCCTGCTCGCAAGGCAGGTGCTTATGCTGCTGAGCTAAATCCCCAGCCCCTGACCTCTACAATATTTAAGACAATTCTATTAATTGCCAACATATGCTCTGGAGACAGAAAGCAGACCAGTGAGTGGTTTCTAAGAGGCCGACAAAGGAGTTAAATACAATGGGCAGAGGAAAATATTTCCTTTTAATTGTGATGGTGGTTATTGAACCACAACAGTTATTAAAACTCCAGAACTGTGCACCAAAAAGACTGAACCTGGGCTGGGGGTTTAGCTCAGTGGCATAAATGCCTGCTTGGCAAATGAGAGGTCATGAGTACTATCCCTGGTATAAAAAAAAAAAAAAAAAAGAAGACTGAATCTTACTATATAAGCCACACCTCAGTAAACCTGATCAGTAAAAAGAAAAAAAAAAAAAAAAAAAAAAGCCCAGAAACAGAACCCCTGGGTGGTGGCTTCTTTAGCCATTTGGAGTCCTGACCTTGAGGTGGGCCCCTGTCATGCTGGCCTCTTGTGCTGGCGCTTGGACCGAGGCATTTTCTTCCATCCCTAAGTCCCACGGGGCCTACCAGCCTGCTGGAGCCATCTCCCTTGAGGCTGGAGGTATCCCAAGAAGGGGACCAGCTGGGGAAAGAGCAGCAGGCTGAGAGGAAGAAGAGGCACAGCAGTGGCAGAAGGGAGAAGGCAGCTGGTTGACTTTGCTCCCTGGGGCATGGCAGAAGCTGGGAAATGACCCAGAGCGCAACCTGCTCTGCTTTCTAGGGTCGGTGGCTGGCTTTCTAGCTCCTTCACAGGCATGATGGTGCAGGCCGGTAACCCCAGCACTCTGAGAGGTTGAGGCAGGGGGATCATAAGTCCCAGGCCAGCCTAGGGAATCAGTGAGATCCTGCCTCAAAATACAAAAGGGGCTGGGATATAGCTCAGTGCAAAGGCCCTGGGTTCAATCTGCGGTAAAATACGATTATTGCCATTTTCTATACGTGAGATCTGACTACATTTGTTAAGATCTGACTAGGTTTGTTAAGTGAGTCTTTTTTTTTTTTTTTTTTTTGAGCTAAATTCCCAGCCCTTATAGTAGCACAATTTGTAAAAGCCAGATCCTGGAAACAGCCCACATGTCCATCAACTGGAGAATGGATAAAGAAAATGTGGTTTTTATACAATGGAGTACTCTGCCATAAAGGAGGAATTTACATTTCCAGGTAAATGGATACACCTTGAGACCCTATTCTTAAGTGAAATAAATCGGGCACACATGTAAATACAGCATTGTTTCTTTGGAGAAACCTAAAGTATAAACAAGTACCAAAAGGTATAACAGATGTTATGCAATAAGAAGGAAATGTTCAAAGGGGAAGGGAAACAAAGAAGGGCCTGGGGGAAAGGAAAGAAGGGAAAAGTAAAAAAAAAAGAGAAAAGAAGGAAAACATGAAAACAAAGCTTTTGTAAGTGGGGAGAGGAGGAAGGAGTAAAAGGGGAACAGGAAAAAGAATCAAGTTACATCTCAGCACTCGGGAGGCTGAGGCAGGAAGATCGTGAGTTTGAAACCAGCCTGAGTTACAAAGGGAGCTGAGTGAGCCCGTCTCAAAAAGACAAAAAAAAAAAAAAAAAAAAAAGAATCAAGTTGTATCCTGTACAGGTACAAATTCTTTATGATGAAAGTGACCATTATGTGTATCTAAATTGTACCAATGAAATCTGATTGAAAAAATACCATGGATCATAATGTTGGAAGGAAATCAGAAACACAAACTTAAATAGCACATGCTTTCTCTTATACAAGAAACCCAAAGTGTAAGTAAAGAGCAAAATAGAAGCTAATACAAAGTAGGGAGACAGCGCTTTCTCAAATGGGAAGGGGATCAAAAGATGGGGGGGGGGGAAGGAAGGGAGGGGTGAAAAAGGAATGGAGATTGTGTTATGCACATGCATCAAATTCACGCAGGGAACACAGACCCTGTGTACCAAACACATGTACCAATAAAAAAAATTACTTTCCTAGTTGCAATAAACACAAACATTTACTGCAAACTAAGATCGTGTTTTTCAAAAGTTTCTGACAATTACCCTCTGTCACGTATGTATTTCACATCGTCAGTATCTGCACACATGCATGTAACACATTCCTTACGCAAACCAAGTCTCTTACATACGATGCAGTCTATTCTGACCTTTTCCAATGGGAAAACATCTGGTTATAAACCACTGAGTTGTTTCCTGACCTGATGTCGCAGTGTGGGTTTAAAGTAGGTTGATCATGTTCAGCCTCACTGGCAAAACTTTCCCCCTTCCAAATTTAACAGGAACCCGCTCGGAGCGGGTGTATGGCTATGCACACGTCTGTGAGCCTGTTTGTCTCAGGCGACATTCCTGTCAGCTCACAGTATCTCCAAGGGGAGAGCTCAGATTAGGCTTGGAGCAGAAGATGCCCGCAGACCCCCAGCCAGTGCACCTGTTCCCTAGTTGCCCGGGTAACTGTTTCAGTTCTGGTCGCTCCTGTCTTAGAAAGGGCTGGTGACTGTGATGCATGTCATATAAACTGATCTCCAACTGGCCAGCCACGCTTTCTCGGTACTTGCTGCTCGCTTACCCCATATAAGCCCTGGACCACTGGATTTTGGGCCTGGTATTCTGGGGATGATCCCAATCAGTGCCCGCCAATGTAAATAAATCTTCCAAATCCTGAGTGTCATTTCAGTGTTTCTACTTGCTGTTGTAGGCTCTCCGACCTATGACAAGAGGATTGCTTTTAGTTTTCTCAAACTTGAAACTGGAGGGTTGATCAACCAAATGGGAATTTTGGTCCTAAGTGCGAGAGGAGCTGGGTGAGTGCACCTTCTTAAAGGGCAGAATGCGCCCCACAGACACATATTCTCTCAGGGAGGTGGGGAACTGCCCCAGCAACTGTCTCTGTTCTGTTTTCTTCACAGCCACAATCCCTGGGGCCCATTTCTCGACGGCAGGGAATCTTGGAGAGGGACAGGAGAGTGGAGCAGGGACTGGCTAGGCAGTGCTGTGGGAAATCAAAGGCGTCCGCTGGCATGCTCACTTACTTCAGATGAGAGACCGTAAAGCGGTTCTGCTAGATTTTCTTTTTAAAAAATTTTTATTGGTATATATTCATCACACAGTGCTCACATTCATTATAGGGAATCTGTGCCTGTACTGTAGAGAATACAGCTTTTTTTCCTATTCCCCTTGTAGATTTTCTCCTTTGAATGCTTTTTCAGGCAAGCCTCAATTGGAAGGTTTCAGTATGAAGTGGGATGGATCCTGTGTTCTAAGTAAGAGAAGACAGTACCAACATCTGCAGTCTGGGAGAAAGAACCGATTTCAGTATGCACAGACCAGGCCGGCAGAGCGGCGGGGGCTGGGCGTGGAGTGGCAGGAGCAGGGTGTCAGGGTAGCTTTGAGCTGGCTCATTTTGGCAGCTGCATGATGTAGTTCTGACCCACACAGGAACACTGCTATGGCTCGGAAAGTCAGCAGATCTGTGTTGTCACCCTTTCCTCTCGGAAGTCATAGCTCCTGTTGTTACATTTGGAATTGTTTGATGGATATTTGTTTTTATTTTTCTTAATTTTGGGGGGGGGCACCAGGGACTGAACTCATGACCTCGCACTTGCCAGGCAGGTGCTTATGTTGGTCAGCTAAATCCCTGGCCCTGATTTTTTTTTAAAACAGGCTCTTGTTATTAGCTGGCCTCAGCCTCCCAAGTGTACCACGATACTTCGCTGTTTGATATTTATTTTTCTTCCAAATTCATTTTAATGTTTGATAGACACTCAAAAAAACAGCTTAAAGCTGGGCGTGATGGCACACACCCGTGATCCCAGCACTGGGGAGGGGAGGCTGAGTCAAGAAGCTCACTTGAGTTTGAGATCAGCCTGGGCTACAAGGCCAGTATGCACTGCATAGTCAGACTTTTGTCTTAAAAAACACAAAAAACAAAAACACCACCTTAGCTCCTAAAACTGCTAAGTATATTTAATACTAAAGTATAAAATAATCCACATGCAAACTAGATATGAATCTTATGAAAAGTATATCTTTGCAAAATCAGATCATAAAAGGAAATACTTGAAATAGTTACAATTACTGAGAACTAGGGGCTGGGCATGGTGAAGCATGCCTGTAAGGACAGTGATCTGGGAGGCTGAGGCAGGATGGTTGCATATTTGAGGCCAGCCTGGACTATATACTGTTTCCCTGAAAATTGGACCTAGCTGTAAAATAATCAGCCTCGAAAACCAGAGACCAAAAACACCAGCATGTTGACCTCTCTTTGCTTACCTGCCTTGCTGGGCAGCCACCAAGCAGGAACAGTGATGCTGGGGAGGCATGGATAGCCTGATCTAGGCTGGCATTTTTTGAGACAGGGTTTGCTATGTAGTCCAGACTGGCTTTGAACTTGCAGTGACCCTCCTGCTTCAGCCTCCCAAGTGCTGGGATTGCAATATGTGGTGCCAGGCCTGGCACACACCTCTAATCTAGTTTTCAATGCTGATTAATTTCCAGCTGTGTCTTATTTTCAGGGGGAGACTAATGAGGCCTTGTCTCAACAGCTGCCCCCCAAAATTAGTAACTTTTTTTTTTTTTTTTTTTTAAAAAGAGAGATTGGGGCTGGGGGTTTAGCTCAGCGGCATAAGCGCCTGCCTTGAAAGCAGGCAGTTGTGAGTTCAATCCCCGGCACCGATACAAAGGAAAAAGACAAAAAAAAAAAAAATAAAAATAAAAATAAAAAAAGAGAGATTACTCAAGCAATGTGCCAAAAAACCCAAGTGGTGTCTCCTCACTTCTGTCTAATTGTCTATCTTTTGGTGGTAATGGAGGTCAAACCTAATGGAGCTCTACCACTGAGCTGCATCCCAACCCTTCTCTCTTTTTTTTTTGAGACAAAGTCTTACTGGTTGCCCAGGCTAGCCTTAAACTTTTGATCTTTCTGCTTTTGCCTCCCACATAGCTGGATTACAGGCTTGTACCACTGTTGCCTGGTTAAACTCCACTGCTTTAAAAAGTAGTCTTGGGGCTGGGGATTTAGCTCAACGGCATAAGCACCTCCCTTGCAAGCAGGCAGTCGTGAGTTCGATCCCTGGTACCAATTAAAATGAAAAAGACAAAAAAAAAAAAAAAAAAAAAGTAGTCTTAACCAGATGTAGTGGTACATGCCTGAAACCCAGCACTTGGAAGGCTGAAGCAGGAGGATCACCACAAGTTTGAGGCCAGCCCAGGATATACAGTGAGACCATCTCAAAAAAAGTACTCTTAAAAAAACAAAAACAAAAAACAGTAGCCTGTTACACTTACCATACAGTTACTACTCCATACCAAACAAGTGGTATCAATCTAGATGGTCAGTGCCTACACTTTTTTTAAAAATCACAGCACAAGAGGATCAAGACCCAGTGCAGAGTACTGTACAGTGGCATATGCTGTAATTGCAGCACTCAGAGCCTGAGGCAGGACTGCCGAGAGGTTGGGGTCAGTCTGGGCTATACAGTGAGTTCAAGGCTAGCTTAACTACAGAGACCCTGTGTCAAAAAACAAAACAAGCAAAGAAAAAATACAATGCAAGGGCTAGGAAACCTAACTGAATTAGTAGAAAGATCCAAGAATAAGCCACTTCAGGAAAATTACATTTCATGGGAACTTGAAATAGCTTGGGGATAAAGCAGGTCTGAGTCCTGTCTCTAAGGTGTCTGTTGTCCCTAGCTCTGAGAAACTTCACTGAAAGCTCCCTTCTGACGCCTGATGGATTGAGATACAAACAAGGAAGGGGAGAAGGGAAGAACCAGTGTGTTTACTCCTCCATAGGTAATCAGCTGCTTGGAACCATGAGCCCTGCGTGTGGACAAGCAATTCTGTCTGGTCACTGGCGGCGACTCTGATGGGGAAATCATATGATGGTTTTGAGCTTCATATTTTATTTACAAGAAAATGAAGAGTATCCTCTGTAAACTCTAACTGGGGGTATGAAAATCAATACAAAGACAAGGTGCTGGCTCCAAGGTGCCGGCTGCATGGAGTCCATGCCGCTGTCCCTTTAAAGAGGATTTTTGTTACTTGAAACAACAAAACAAAATCCCACAGGATATCTTCTTGCTGCACATGTGACAGCATTAAAAATAAAAATGACCAAACTAATTCTCAGGTCAAAAATCGTGGCGAGCAGGATGTCACCTTGTTGCAGTGACATCCCAGGACTCAGTACTCATCCAGAGTGTCTGCTCGGGGGATGGAGAGGCCTCGATCCTTCAGCGCCTGCACCTTCAGCTTCTCCGCTTCCAGCTTGGTCTGCTGCTCTACTCTCTGCTCTTCCAGGATCTCCTCGATGGACACTTGCTGGAGGGGTGTGTCGCTCTCCTTCTCCAAATCCTGCAAAACAGGCAGCTCTAAAACATCCACCTGAAGCCCAGGAAAAGAAAATCTCCCTGCTCCACAGACACGTGGCTCCTGGGTCAGGGCTAGGCAAAGGCTTGGCCCAGGGACACGCACTCTGTGTGTACGGGGCCAGCATCAGTGTGCACAGCAAGGACACAGCTTAACCAAAATCCCACGGTAGCCAGGAGTGACTTCAGTCAGGTGATAACTTTCCTTTAACATAAAATTATTAGCGCTGCTTATAGGTAGCTATCTCCCTACTAGTACAGAATCCAAGAAAATTACTAGTAAATTTTATACTTTGAAAGTCAGTTAGCCGGGCGTGGTGGCTCACACCTGTAATCCCAACACTCAGGAGGCTGAGGCAGGAGGATCGTTAAGAGTTCGAGACCAGCCTAGGCTACAAAGTGAGCTCAAGGCCAGCCTGAACTGCACAGTGAGACACTGTCTCAAAAAGAGAAAAAAAAAAGTCAGTTTAATTTGACAGTTTTTGCTCAGAAAGAAGGTAGAGAACACGATTCCATGCCTAATGGCAATAAACTGTTCCTCTGTGGCACTAATTAGGCACACCTATAATGAGCACCTTCAATGGAAACAAGTCTGTAGAAAACTTCATCAAGCAGGGTGTGGAGGCATACTCCAGTAACCCCAGCACTCGAGAGGCTGAAGTAGGAGGCTCACTGTGAATTCAAGCCTACACAGTGAGTTCAAGGCCAGCCGGAGTTACACAGCTCAGACCCTGTCTCAACAAACGAACAAATAAACAAACAAATGTATAGTAGCATTCTGCGTTTTCTGTTGTTCTGTAACATGAACAGCCTGTACAGATAGTGTTCCTGTTCCTTCCCTTTCTCTATAGGTGTGCGACAACACTGACGCATCATAAACTGTGCTGTTTTGGCCTGGATTCCAACTGTCACATGCTGCTAAGGTCTAGAGTCCTTACCAGGTGGCCTCTCATTAGGTGCTACAAGGGGTCACACAGATGGCTTAGGCCATCCCGACCCCATCAAAAGTTAAGAGCAGTCAGCAAAATTGTTTTGTCATCTAAACCTCACCAGGCTGGGGCTATCAGCCAGGGCAAGACAGTGTCCTCCGCTTAGTGTACTTGCAGCCTTCAGACCTTGTAATGTGTCACCCGCTGAGCTATGTATGTGTGACCTTGGGCTTATTACTTAAGGCCGCATGCATCATCATCCTTGAGGCAGAATCTAGAGTCCTAGGCTTTGCAATGTTTCGGGAATGCAAACCACTTCTGGGCAAGTTTCCTTGGCGCTGGTACAGTTTCTTCATGCTGACTTCTGACCCACATAACTGCGTAAGCATTTCTGTCTCTCCAGTGGCATCACTGTAAAACTTTGCACTGTTCAAACACATGGACAATGACAAAAAAATCCACATGAGGAAGCTCCAGGAAATGAAGACTTTTTTTGGTACCGGGGATTGAATTCACGACCTCGAGCTTGCCAGGCAGGCGCTTACACCACTGAGCTAAATCCCCGGCCCTGAAAAATGATCTTTTTTTGGTCTTTTTCCTTTTCATTGGTACCAGGGATCGAACTCACGACTGCCTGCTTGCAATGCAGGTGCTTATGCCACTGAGCTAAATCCCCAGACCCATAATGATGAATCTTCTTTTTTTTTGTCTTTTTCGTTTTTATCGGTACCAGGGATCGAACTCATGACTGCCTGCTTGCAATGCAGGTGCTTATGCCACTGAGCTAAATCCCCAGACCCATAATGATGAATCTTTAAGAACAGGTTTTCTGGGCTGGGGATTTAGCTCAATGGCATAAGCGCCTGCCTTGCAAGCTTGAGGTCATGAGTTCGATCCCTGGTACTGATAAAAGTAAAAAAAAAAAAAACAAAAAAACCCCATAAAAACCTGGTTTTCTTTCCTTCTTCTCTTGGCTCCCACATATACACCATCAGAGAGACCCCTTCATGTAAGGTAACTTCATTACTGCAAAACCGACCCACACCCATGTGCATCATGAAGTAGCTCCTCTTGACAGCACGGTAATATGCTCCTCTCTAGAAACTGCATTTGGGAAAACAACTGAAAATCCGCCATCCACCCAGCATGCATGGGGGGAGCTCCTGTAATACCTGGGGAAACCACGCTACAGTCCTTCGCTGGCCCCTCAATTCTCGGGGTCCCAGGTGCTTTACTCGACCTTTATATAAGACAGCAATTTCTGCTGCTTAAACAAGTGGAACAAATGAGACACTGAACCAAATGCACCAACTGCAAACATATATATATATATATATATATATTTGGTCTGTTTTTGAGACAGGGTCTCACTGTGTAGTTCAGGCTGGCCCTGAACCCATTTTGTAGCCCAGATTGGCCTGGAATTTGAAGCAATCCTCCTGTCTCAGCCTGATTGCTGGGGTTACATGTGTGTACCACTAGGCCTGGCTTGAGTTTACAGTTCAAAGGACATTATTTAGCTGGTTCACAGGAAACCGAGTTCAAAGGAAATTGGTCAATTCTGCATTCATTTTTTCCAAGTCTAGCCAGAAGGTTAGGGAGGAGATGCCAGCTATGCAGTTTAGGCTGGTCTTGAACCATGAACTATGTAGCCCAGGCTAGTACTCATGACTTGGCCTCCTGAGTGCTGACACTGCACTGTGCATTGCCATACCAGGCACCCTATGCCCCTTTTTAGTGTCATTTTCATACCCTTCTTCTGTTCACCTTTGCACCTCTAGGCTGGCTCTTAGCCCTGGTGGGTTATTTTCTTTTACTTGATCATTTTATCTGGCTGGTCTATTTATAAATAAACTACATTAAATTCCTACAAAATGACACATTAAAAAATAGCCACAAACCAAACCACTCCAAAGATTTCTGTAAACTAGAGACTTCTGGGAGAACATGGCGGACAAATAACAGCAGCCACGGAGGCTCTTTGAGATTACCACTTTAGAATCCAGGAGCGGTGCCGTGTGAGAAGTCCTACATGAGGGGAGATGCACCCTGCCGACCTAGGAACGAACTAAGCTGAGAGAAACCAACTGGAAATGCAATACTGATGCTATAACAGGGACAGATAAAATCTCAGTGAGGAAGCTGGATCCCACGGCACTGGAAGCCGTGATTTGAATTTCCTGCTGCCGATACTGCGTCCCAATCCGCACGGCAGGGAGAGAGGCACGCAAAAGCTCTGAGAGCTGGAATCGGTGAACCAAACGGCATTGAAAGCAGGACTGGCAGGGAGCCCTGCATCGACCTGCGGTGAGTGAGAGAAATGGGGACCCTTTCATAGACTGGGAGGCTCCAACAGAGGACATTCTGGGAATGAGCAGACTAGGCGGAAAAGGGCCCTGCAGTGACTTAAGTCGCATATTCCCCTCTCAAGCGGGAGTGGTGGGGAGCGCTTGGACTGGTGATGCCACGGACTAAGATCCAGTAGGCTAGCCCAAATCAGGTCCCTGTGCCTGGCGGTGCACCCTAGCAGTGAAGCATTCAGTAAGTTGACCTGGAGGGGCGGGCCCAGCAGAGGCTGCCCAGATCTGTGTCTCCCTAGTACACTGCAGTGGGCGGGAACACCTAGCCAGCGGATTCAAACAAACTGTAACAGACAAAGAGAAAAAAAAAAAAAAAAAAAAAAAAAAACCAAAACTGGGCCTCCTACATATGCTTGTATGGAAGGAACAAAAAGTATGGGAAAAGGGAGCAACAAGAAAGGGTCCTCAATCCCCAATCCTGAGAACACTGATGCAGGAAAGGTAAATGCAAAAGAGAATGAAGACAGAAAACGCGCAATATCAAACACGGCACCTATAGACATAAAGTGGTATCTCCGGAGCCTCATAGACGAGTTCAAAAATGAAGTATTTAATGAAATAAAGCAAGAAATAAGTAGAATAGTTAGAGAAACGCTAAGCACCGCCCAAGAAAAAACAGATGGTAGAATGGAAGAACAGAAAAAAAGGGAGAATTGTTTGATGGAGAAAATAGAGAAAACATAGAATACGTGAAGCAGGTTCAAAGAGATTACCAGGAAACTAAACTCTATTGAAAGCTGGCATAACAGCTTGAAAGAAACTAAGGACAGATTATCAGAACTGGAGGACAGATTTATAATATGGGAGCATGAAATTAAAAACTTCTTAAAAATAACAAGAAAACAAACAGCAATAATATAAAAACTATAAGATGATAAGAGATCTATAACTTAAGAATTAAGAACATAAAAGAAGAAGTAGGGACTCAAACAAATGAACTACAAAAGCTATTCACAGAAATAATCCAGGAGAATTTCCCTAATTTAGCAAAAGGTAAAGATACTCAGATATATGAGGCATACAGGACCTCAGCCACCTACAACCCAAACAGTGCTACACCCAGGCATATAATAATCAAAATTCCAGAAGTCCAATATAAGAACAGAATATTAAAAGCCATCAAAGACAAGAAACAGATCAGTTACAAGGGAACACCCATCAGAATTACAGCAGACTTCTCGGCACAAGCCATGAAATCATGAAGAGCATGGGGGGAAATAATTCAAGCTCTGAAAGATAATAAACTCAGCCAAGATTGATATATCCTGCACAACTGTCCCTAGAAATTGATGGAAAAATAAGGTACTTCCAGGATAAAGAGGAACTAGGGGAATTTGCAACCACCAATTCAACACTACAGAGATTACTGTAGGATATTCTTTTTTTTTTTTTTTTGTCTTTTTCGTTTTTATCGGTACCAGGGATCGAACTCACGACTGCCTGCTTGCAAGGCAGGCGCTTATGCCGCTGAGCTAAATCCCCAGCCCCTACTGTAGGATATTCTAAAAATGAAAAATACCAAGATTCCAGAAACAGTGGCAGAGCAGCCACAATGAATGGAGCAGAAAGCGAAATGAAGAGGACAAACTGACAACTAATGACAGAAAAAGAGCTCAACAGAAATGAGGCAGAGAAGGTTGGATGGTAGGAACAGCCATTTTGGAGAAAACAAGACATCATAATAGGTAGTGCTGATTTAATATCCTCTTGTTGTGAAGTCCCATCAAGCTTTTGTTCTTCTGTCCTCCATCGGTTTTAATGTGTTGTATCTTATTGGATTTTATTATATGTGATAATATAAACAAAAACTTTTATAGACAAGGAGATTATACAGAAACCATTGTTCATTTTCTGTTAGTTGATTCTAAATACCCTGTAATACTGTCATTCTCTTGAATGGCTTTACATTGTCTTGATATGTTTGATGCTACAGTATACAAAGTTATAGCCAAAGATTTTAAGGGAAGAGACACTATGGTAACTACTATTATGTTGAGATTATCTTGTGGTGAAACACTATTTTGCTTAAATGGCTATGTTTTGATTTGTGCTGTTTTGTTGTTATGCCCTCTTTTTTTTTTATCTCAATCTCCTTTTAATTATCTACTTTTTCATTTTTATCCCTTTAATTAAGGGAAAAATAAATAAAAAGGATATATTATAGTAACCCACTTTGATTTCCTATTAACTTGATTTGAAACTCTATTGCTCTCACCATCTTGTTTTAACTGATTTTCCTCTATTCTGTTATGCTTGATAGTACCAAGTTTGAAAGTATAGGCAACAACTATGAAGACAGTAAGATTAATTGTGACGCCCATTCTGGTTGACTATTATCTTCTTTTGAAGTCCTCTAATGTCTCCAATGTTTTGGTTTTATTGGTCTTATTCTTTACTGTTTTTTTCAATTTTATTATAACTGATGATATAGGCAATTCTTTTTAAGATACCAAGAGGCATTATGGTAACCATTGTTGATCACCTTGTATTTTGTTTTTACATTATGTATTATGTCCCTCCTTTTGATTTGACTGACTCTGTCCTGGTATGTCACATTTGGTTTTAATTTCTTTTTTTTTTAAATTTTTTTTTTTGTCTTTTTCTTTTTTATCGGTACCAGGGATCGAACTCAAGACTGCCTGCTTGCAAGACAGGCGCTTATGCCACTGAGCTAAATCCCCAGCCCCCTTGGTTTTAATTTCTTCAAAAGAAAAAAGTAGTAAGAACTGTGGGAGTAATAAAACCCAAAATGTAATTGTCATTGTACAAAAGAAAGGAAAAGAAAGATCTCTAAAAGATATAACTGCATATATATTTAAGTATATAAGATAGATAACCATATTACTGAGTTTTGTTGGATCATTGAACAAAATTGTTTGCAGTCTCACTGTTTGAAAGTCCCCTCTATATGCTTTAATTTTGTAACTTCAACAACTACTTCTAAGATGACAATATGTAATTAACTAGTGATTTCCTACTGTTTATTTTTTCTGAAATTCTGTATAACTTGTACCCTTTTTCTGTTTTTTTTTTTTTCTTTTTTCTCCTTAAATAAAATTTAAAAAAAAAAAGATTTCTGTAAACTAAATTAAGGTAGGGCTAGGTATTGGGGAACTATCAAAAACTTAAAACAGAGAAAATGTCAAAATTTTGGGTATAGAAAAATAGAACAGCTGGTTACCAGTCCTTCCTCCCTGCCTCCCTTTTCCTCTCTGGGGCGCTGGGGATGGAACCCAAGGCCTCACACATGCCAGGCTGCTGCTCTACCACTGAGCACAGTCCCAACTCCAATGCTTAGTTTCAATTATTCCTGTTCTGGCAACTAAGTAGTAGGAGCAGGGCTTGGTTAAAAGTTTAAATAAGGTACTGGTTTTATTTTATTTTATATTTATTTTAGACAAAAGGTCTTTGCTATGCAGTTCAGGCTGCCCTGAAGTTACTATGTAGCCTAGGATGGTCTGGATCTTGCAGTGGGCCTCCTGCCTCTGCCTCCATGTGCTAGATTACAGGGGTGCACCACCACGCCCGGCCAAGGTACCATAGACCACAGTGACAGTATTGCAGAAGGCTCAGAGCCTGTCACCTGACAGCTGGCTCTTCTGGCACAGGTCCAGATGCCTCCTGGTTGAGCCAAGGATTTGTGCGAAGCTGAGATTCATCTTCAGGTCAGGTAGCAGAAGGGATTTTCCTACATATTCCTTCTACTTGTCCTCTTTAAAAATATGAATACACTGGATATGCAATGTTTGTTCTCTCAAATACAGATAACTGACTTTATATGGTGAACTACTTGTAACTAATTTAAATAGCTGCGAGATATTCCAACGTATGTGAATCATACTCTTGTAACCCAACATACATAAATCAAGCTTCTTCAGTTTTCTGCTATTAGAGTAACAGAAATACTGTATTAATGAGCATATTTATGTAAAAGAAATTTTATTTTTAGATAGGGTATCATCACTATGCTGGCCTTAAATTCATTATGTAGCTCAGGCTGGTCTTGAAATTGTGGTGATCTCCTGCCTTAGTCTCCTGAGTGCTGTGATTACAGGCATGTACCACCACACCTGGCTAAAACAAATTTTGTTTTTTTGAGACAGAGTCCAGGTAGGCCTCGAACTCATGGCTATCCTCCTTCCTCAGCCTTTTGGATGCTGTGATTACAGTCATGTGCCACCATTTCTGGCTCCCACCTTATTTTTTTTTTTTTTTTGTCTTTTTCCTTTTTATCGGTACCGGGGATCGAACTTACAACTGCCTGCGTGCAAGGCAGGCGTTTATGCCGCTGAGCTAAATCCCCAGCCCCTATTTTTTTTTTTTTTAATATCAGGTAAAATCAGTATTTTGGGGCTGGGGATATAGCTCAGTGGCACAGTGCCTGCTTGGCAAACATAAGGTCCCAAGTTCAGTTACCAGTTAAAAAACAAAACCAAAAACAGTATTTTACGAACAGGATCAAAATCTTTAAAATGCCAAGAAGTACTAAAACAAAGTGGATTATTCTCAGTAGCTTCCCTAACTTAGTAAGTGCCTGTGAGAAACTAGGTCAAATGTAGAAATTATCTTTCTTCTCTTAAAAAGACAGAAAAAAAAACCTAACTAGCATGAGTAGCAAGATCCACAACTTAACAGTTTTCACTTACTATTTCTCCTAGGAGGACCACATTTTCTCCTCTGACCACAAAAATCCCTCGAGGAATATCACCGTATTTTTTGCCCACATGAATACGTTCCACAGTCTGATGTAGCACTAAGTTAGCTATAAGTGCACAGGGAAGAAATACAGATATTTAGTTCATGTTACTGGGGAAAGGTCTATAAGTTAATACGTTATGGCATTCTGAGGAAAAAAACACTTAGCTAAACAAAATTTCTAAACTTTCTAATTCTGGGAAAAACAAAAACTGGAAATAATCTTCTGTTTCACTAACACATACCATTTAGGAAATCTCTGAAGAACTGCATACTGAGAGTACTTGGGATTATGTTGCACTAAATCATGAATGATAGCACAAATAAGTTATGAAATATAAATTCCTTTATTAATTGCTAATAACATGGCTATAAGAACATATGTATGAACAGGAATTTAGAAAACTTGAGCCTAAACAATCACCAAAATTAAACTTTTTTGAAGGAAATAACTTTTTCTGTTGCATGGTATATGTATATGACTTTAACCTAGTGTTGATATCCATGGATTATGATTCAGGAAAAATATATTTTTTTCTACCTAGTCAGAGAAACATATCTGGTAATCTGAATCACAATACTCCTTATACTTCAAAGTACTAAATAAATTTTAGATTTAGACTCCTAATCTGTTTTGAATAATTATTTTTGTCCTTTCAATTTGTATTACTTGTATTGCTTGAAGCAAAGCAGAAACCTATGTCATATCCATTTTGTTTCTTTTTCTGAAAAGGGGTTTTGGTGTGTGGCCAGAGTGGACATGAACGCCTACACTCAAGTGACCGTCCTACCTCAGCCGCCTTGGTAGCTGAGACTTCAGGTGCATGGCACCATGCCCAGCTATTTATATCTTTTGTAATTCTCATGTTTCAATTGTTTTTTTCCATGCTTAAAACTAGATCTTAACAAGTATCTAACAATGTAGATACAACTGAGAAGTTCTTAAAACAGAAACAGATAACTTTAGAAAAATACAGACTGCAAAACAAAATATGTAGACTCTTTTGAGTTAGCTGGATTTCTATACATAAAATATCAAGTTTAACATTAATAAAAAGCTTCAGGAAATGCCTTTCGCCCACTTTCCCTGGACAGGGAGGGATTACCTTCAGTGCAGGAAGTGCTTTGAAGAGTAGGAGCACACAAGCCAATGCACAAATGAGCAGCCTTTGCAGTGGACTGAGTTTATTTCTACCACTTGGCTCCCTCTAATGGGGGAAATAAAAAAACAGTCCGAAACCAGCTTAGAAATATGTGCCTGTAGATATACGAGCTACTGAAACACCCAATCATAATGTAGAAAACAATGATTTACTCACTCAAAACAGCTCCATTATGCCAGACATATGTAGAAAAGGTGCAGATAAACTTTTAATATGAAACAAAAAAATGCAATGGGTGGCTCTTACTATCTAGAGAATTAAAGGGGACATCCATAGTTAATACGTACCAAATTGATCAATGCTTCTTAAAAAGCCTATAAGTGTCCTTCCATCTCGAAGCAGGACCAAATGTTTTTCTGAGGAGAGGAAAAAAGATCTTCAACATGAATGCTGTCTGCTTCAGGGAGTTTCTAAGCTAACAATAAAGTTAATAGTTTAAGCAGTCCCATTTCCCTTTGGGCTGCAGTTCAGGTGGAGCTCACTGGGAAAATGGAAGCAGTGTCAGGGCAGCGCTATGGATTACAGCTTGGTGAGGAGTGCATGCAGCTTGGTTAGTAGAGGACAGGAAGCCAGCTGACCCCACCTCATGTTTGACTCAAACCCTCTCAGTACCACAGTGGTTTCTACATCTGCAAACTAAGGAATTTAGTCTAGATGATCTTCTCGATCCTAATCCTAGAATTTGTTTTCTTTCAATTTAAAATAATTTCACTGGGGATGGTGATATACACTATAATCTCAGCTAACAGGGAGGCTGAGGCAGAAGGATTGCAAGCTGGAGGTGGGCCTGGGCATTTTAGCAAGACCCTGTCTCAAAAACAAATCGACAAACAAAACTGGATGGAGGCTCAGTGGTAGAGCCTTTGCCTAGCATCTAAAAGCATTTTATTTTTATTTCTTCTTGGTACCAGGGATTGGACTCCCAACCTTTGCACTTGCCAGACAAGCACTTGTGCCACTCAGCTAAATCCCCAGCATCCCTTGCCTAGTATTTGTCAAGGCCTGGGTTCAACCCTTATCATCAAAACAGAAAGAAGGCCTCCAACATTTAAAATGAGAACATGATAATAGGCTAGAAGAGAAATTCAATATTTATTGGAAATTATATTCCGTCCCAGGGTCTGACAATTCATAAAATCAATCTAATGAATTTATATGCCTTGTAGGGGAAGACAAAAGGAACTACCTATTCTGATTAGCACAGCAGAATAAGCAAAAGGTACAGGATAGCATGATGAGATGAGCAGGTGTAGTTACAGAAGCAAGAGTAGCAAGAGCAGCCCTCTCTGCATAGGTAACCATGAGACGGGATTGAATGATGAGAATAAGCCAGTTATTGGAGAAGTCAGAATCTCCAGTCATTGATTTATTTAATGTCACGCATAAAATACTTTCCAGATACAGAAGACAGGGCAGTGATTTTTCCCCTGAAGGAATTTATTGTCTTCCTTGGGCTGTAAATAAATATCATAAGCAAATAAATCTTAATTATATGCGACTTTAGGGAGAGAAATTGTATACACCTGGAGGTAATGGAGTTGGACCCTGAAAAGTAAGCTTTAAAAGCCATGAGAAAGGGAAGGGAAATCTGCAATTTAAGCAGAAGTTAAAAAAAGATTATATGTCCATTTGTGTGGCTAAATGATGTAGGGATGAAGGGAAACAACAGGAGTTAAGGTCAGAAAAGTATCAGGGGAAGCTGGCCATGGGAGTGTACTTCTGTAACCCCAGCTCTTGGAAGGCTGAGGCAGGAAGATTGTTGAGTTTGTCAGCCTGGGCTATGTAGTGAATTCAAGGCTGATGTGGGCTACACAGCAAGACCCTGTCACCAAACAAAACAAAAGCAGAAAAGCAACAGCAGTAATGAGGCTCAAGTCCACTCCTACGAGACATCCTAGGGATTCAGAGAAAGCAGCAGATCAACCATGCAACTCAGACCACCTGTTTGGGGAACAGCAGGAATCACAAAATCAGCGACCAGTGTTAGAGAAAGCAAGAAAACGGAATGAAGAATCCCGTGGTGATACTATCACAATGCTACAGAGCTGAGAACTTAAGACGATCTCAGTGGTTGGAGCTTCAGCAGTGTGCTGACAGCAAAGATCAGACCACATGGGCAACCAAAGGTGGGTTCTTTAAGGTGGTCAGGAAATACGGTCAAAAAGGGACTACTCAAGACAGTAACAAACAGGATTAATGCCTGGGAGAAAAGAGACAGAAGACGCGAAAGGACAATACTAATGGAAGAAGCTTCTAGAAGCAGTAGGAAGTGTATTACAAAAGAACTACTTATTCAAATGAGGAGGTGAAAATACAGGAAGAAGGAAGATACCAGAGAAAGTTATGAGTGCTAAGCAGAGAGAGAAGAGTATACAATATTGCAAATAGTTTTAAACTTTTCAGTAAGGAAAGGGCTTGAAATCTACAAACAGGTACAGGTTAGAGGGCTTGGCAAAATAGCAGGATGTTAGGGTATTGCTCCCCAGCCTTTTTGGTACCAAGGACTGATTTCCTGGAAGACAATATTCCTAGGGTGAGTGGACTACAGGGGGATGGTTTTGGGATGACTGTAAAGAGCAAGCAGCCAAAATCCCTCCCCATTGCAGTTCACTGTAGGCTCATGCTCCTAGGAGAATCTAGTGTCACCGCTGATGACGGGGTGGAGCTCAGGCGCTAACTTGAGCAATGGGCAGCAGCTGGAAATACATGGGCAGCTTTGGTCCTGCTGCTCACCTCGAGCAGTGCAGCTTAGTTTCTAACAGGCCTCAGACTCTGCCATGGATCAGAGACCCCTGTGTTAGGGGCTTCAACTCAGATCTATGACGGATAAGGGGCACCCTCAAACGACTAAAATATAGTTATTTCTTTATGACTTAGAGGTAGGTTTATAATGTGGTTGTTATAGTATTTGATCCAAATTACACTAATGATCTCAGATAACTATAAAATGAGAATGTGAAAGTAGATTCACGCTAACCTGCAGAGTCACAGTAAATAGGAACACAGGCAGGTGTTTTCTTAGTAAAATAAAATTATCTAACAGAAGAAAAAGTTCGAAGTGACTTTTCCTGGGAAAGTCAGTGTATGTCCGGCACACTAACACAATCTTAAAAGTGCTAATGAATCTCAAAATCCAAGGGCATTTGCAAATGGTTATACAACAGAAAGCCCAGTTTTCTTAATGTTTGCGTGTTTTTTAAAATGAATTCTTCCTGTGTGCACTGGTACTTCAAAATACTGCAGTTAGCAGACAGTGGACGCGGGAGAGGTCTGCGGGTCACCTTCGAATTCGGGCCTCCGCTCCGAGAATGAAAATCCCACAGCGAGTGCTCCTCAGCCCAAGCACTGGCGTGGATGGTGAGGGGCGGAGGCCGTCAAAGCGGACGCTCAGATTTGAGCGCAGAGCACGGCGCCAGCCCGGGGTTCTCTCGACGAGCTCCCTCCGAAGAGGCGCCCGCCCGGGAGGAGGTGAGCTACTCACTGTCGATGTCCTCGATGAGGCTGGCGGTGCCGGGCATATAGTTCATTTTGAACTCAGATGAAGTTGTAATGGACAGCGGAGGTGGGTCAGCACGCCTGACACCTCCTTACTCCAACCGCAGTCGCCGCCTTGGCGGGACCGGGAGCGGAACGCCGACCCCAACCAGCAGATTTGGCCCAGCGAGCCGCGGCCCGGGCCTGCCGGAAGCGCCTTCATATTCCCCACCTACTTCCGGCTACAGCCTGCTCGTCTCCCGGAAGAGGTGGGCCAGTCGAGCATCCGGGTACACGGCGCTACCAGCCCCGATAAGCAAGGAAGAGGCATGTAGAGTGCTGGAAGGTAGGAAAATGTATATTCCCATTTAAGGAGCATGGCCCCTTGCTCTTGCGGTCTTCTTCCCGAAGTCCTGGAAACTCCCGTGGTGGTCTCAACGCTCTGTGCTCCGCGGCAGGGGGCGGGCCCTTGCCTGGGATTGGTTGTTGTAGGCCGACCCCTTTCACTGCTGTCCAGTCCTACTCGCCTGGCTGCGCCTGCGCAGTGGTCCGGGCGTGGGAGGGGGGCGGGAAGCGCTTCTGGGCAGCGGAGCCCATGTCAGCCCTGAGGCGCTCGGGTTACGGCCCCAGTGACGGCCCGTCTTACAGCCGCTACTACGGGCCGGGCGGTGGGGATGTGCCCGTGCACCTCCCTCCGCACATGTATCCTCCTCTGCGCTCCGAACCTCCCCAGCCCCCAGTTTCGTGGCGGGCGCGCGGGGGCGGCCCGGAGTCCACCTGGCCTGAAGGCGGAGGCGGTGACGGCTACTATTCCTCCGGGGGCGCCTGGCCGGAACCAGGTCGCGCTGCTGGAAACCAGCAGGTGAGCTTTGCACTGTTTGTCCTGGGGACCCATTGGCGAGAAGCGAGGGCCACTGGGGATTCGTCGTGGCTCAGGCTTTATATTTGCTTTCCTTTCGCGGGTGTGTGGGATGCGTGTGGAAGAGACGGTTATGGGAACACGCTTGTGGTCCTTTCCCCGGCGTTTTTGCTTCGGCCCATGGTGTATATGTGTGTTACCATTAAAAGGGGATAAAAAGATGCTGCGTTAACTTAAGAGTAGGAGCCAGCTGCGGGATCTCGGTGCTGTCGCTGGAGTGGCAGGGCTCTGCTCGAGCGGTGGCAATTTGTTCTGCGTGGCCAGGGTGGCTGCAGCCCGGGTCGTCGCTCAGCAGCCCCTCCCGAGGGAGGGGAAGCAGACTGAATGAGAGGACCGTGCCAGAGTGTTTAGCCCTTTGCCCCTGAAGCTTTGCCTGGGTTGGCTCTTGCAACAGGGTTGTAAAAGCATTTTTACGTGCCTTAATTTTTTAAGTCACGAATTGTAAGGTTCATATCATTATGACACCTAGTTTTAGATAAAGAAGGCGGTGTTGAGGTTAGCACATTTCCTCAAAATACGTGGACCCACACCATGTTATTCTCTGTACACTAGCCAGAAGTGTATTCCTGTTTTATTGATGCAGTATTCTTAGCACCGAGCGATTGTTACAGTGTAGGAGCACACCTCTTTGCTTTCAGAAGGTATAACTTCCTCATTTGGTGAAAATGTCATAGTGAAGTTCTCATACATCGCTGGTGGGACCATATTTTGGTCCCATATGGTAAAGTGGTACCATATTTTGGAAAATAGTTTGACAGTTCCTCAAAATATAAGCCTAGTATTCTGTGTCCACTCCTGGGAGTATACCCAAGAGAATCAAAAACATATCCTCATTAAAACTTTTACATGCATGTTCTTAGCACTGTTATTATTCATAATAATCCAGAGTACTAGAAACAAGCCAAATGTCCAGCAACTGATGAACATGGCTTAATAACAAAATGTGATATAGTCATACAGTAGACTATTGTTTTGCCACAGATAGGCTTGAAGTACTGGTGCAAACTACAACATGAAGGAATCTTGACGAGATCGTGCATTGTGAGTGCAGAGATTGTATATTGCATGATTCTGTTTGTAAAGTGGCAGAGGAGGCAAATTCACAGACGCGAAAGTTAGTAATTGCCACCGGTTGGGGAACTGGAAGTGTTGAGCAGCTTGTAGAGTTGTGGTTTTTTGTTTTGAGACAGGGCCTTGCTGTGTAGTTCAGGTTGGGTTTACACTCACTGCAGCCCAGGCTAGCCTGGGACTTGAAACAGTGTTTCTGCCTCAGCCTCCTGAATGCTAGGATTATAGGTGTGCGCCACCATGGTATGAGTGGTTTTGGTTTTTTTGAGGTGATGAAATGTTCTCAAGAGGGGCTGGGGATTTAGCTCAGCGGCATAAGCGCCTGTCTTGCAAGCAGGCGGTTGTGAGTTCAATCCCTGGTACTGATAAAAACAAAAACAAAAAAGCAAAGGAAATGTTCTTTCTCAAGTTAGTGATGATTGCACAACTATAAATATGCTAAAGATCGCTGATTTATGAGTGGGTTCCACACTTCCAGTGGGTGGGTTTTACATGTTAATCATATCTCAAAAATTTTATGAGGAAAAAGTGTGTACCAGTCAGAAGAAAGATCCGTATTTTCCAAGCTTGGTGAATGAAATGGTTGACCTGTAAGTACCCAAGTTAAAGATCGTTTGAGGGAAATAGGAGAGGACTTCTAATCTGCCGACTTACTTCTGTTGAACTTGCTGTGTTATGAAAACAAAAATGTGTTTTAATAACAGGTTAGATTGGAGAAGTTTAAGGCTTTGGCCTTCTACAAGGAGCTGTGCAGGGTAGTTGGAGATAAAATTGGACATGTGTGATGGTCATTTGAAGAGTTTGTGCTTTATTAGTTTTTTGAGACAGGGTCTTGCTGTATAGTTTAGACTGCCACCGCACTCATTGTCTAGCACAGGCTGGCCCCCAAATTGTAGTGATCCTCCTGCCTCAGCCTCCTGAGTGCTGGGGTTACAGGTATGTGCCACCATACCCGGCTAGTGCTTTATTTTTGAGGTGATGATTTTAAAACTCTAAGAGTATGGGATGAGACTCTCTTATAAAGTAGTAAAAAACCAATACAAAACAGGTGCATTGTCTTAACTATTATTTTCTGTATGTTTTATGTTTTTGTATTGTGAAATCTATCAAACTAAAAACAAAAATACAAAAAAGTTAAAAATCTTACTACTTAAAAAATGTACTTTATGGACCAGAAGCTTTAGATGTGAGCCCATTAGAAATGCAGAATCTGTCTTTTTTCAGATTTGCTGCTCAGTTTATTAAGATCCCCAGTAACTCACATGCATGTTAGTGTTTAAGAGGCAATACAGTATAGAATTTTCTAAATGAAATATACTGAACCACAAAAAAGATTTGACATTAACATGTTTAAATGTAGTAGGGTAAATTGGAAATCTACCATTTCTGTTTTTTTTAAACTTTGAAGAGTAATACTTTTCTTACCCTGCTAACTATCTATAAAGTATACTACAAACTAGGCATGGTGGTGCCCAGTGCTGGAGAGGCGGAGGTAGCAGGATCACCATGAGTTAGAAGCCAGCCTGGACTGAGTTAAAGACCAGGCTGGACTATACAGTGAGACCTTGGCTCAAAAAACAAAACCAAACAAGACAATATCAACAAAAAGAAGGTGTTGTGTGGGTTCCCAGTCCCTTTACCCTGTAGTCCCATCCCTGCGTGCCCTGTGGAGCTGGTCGGAGATGCCATGTTTCAGGCCCTGTCCCAGAGCTAACAAAACCCTTTGGTGATGTGTCTGTTTCCCCAGACAAGTCAGCCAGAGTGCAGTCCAAGGCAAGAGTGACAGTCCCCTACTAACCTCATCTTGGAAGGGACATACCATCCCTTGTGCCGAACAGTGCGGTAACAGTGCTGTAACAGGGAGGCCTAGAGGCAGGGGACGTGGGAGTCATCTTGGAGGACGGCTGTATCAGAAACAGAGCTCAGTTGGACTTCCAGAGGTGTTCAGAGGAGAGGTAACAAACACATGCATCTGAGCCATGTCCAAATGTAGAGCTCTTTTCCTAAGATTTCATTATAAAAATTTTGTATGTACAGAAAAGTTGAAATAATTTTAAGTGAACAGTCATATGTCTATGACCTAGGTTTTGTAGTTAGCACTCTGCATTTGCTTTTATCACATCTTCCCATTTGGTTTTTGTATTTATAGATTTGAAAGGGTTTTTTTTGTTTGTTTGTTTTTGTTTTTTTGGTACCTGGGATTGACCTCACAATCTCACACTTGCCAGGCAGGTGCTTAAGCTACTTAACTAAATCCCAGGCAATTTGAAAGTTTTTTTTTTTATTTGAAAGTTTTGTTGTGGTTTTTTTGTTTTTTTTAAGAGTCTGGCTGTGTAGTTCAGGTTGGTTTTGAGCTCACTATGTATCCCAGATTGGCCTTGACCTCATGGTAATTGTCCTGCCTCACCCTCCCAAGTGCTGAGAGTACTGGTGCGCCCTACCACACCCATCTTAAAAGATATTTTCAAATATAAAATAGGAAGATCCTTGGAAGTGAAGGATGTGGGAGGAGATGATTCTGATATTTTAGTATTTCTCATAATAGGAATAAGGAGGAAGAACAAGTTTTTATGGGAAAATAATGGTTTAGTTTTGTACCAAAAGACATAATGATTAGTTAAAAGAAGAGCCTAAAAAAATGCAAGGACTTGGCCGGAAGCAGTGTGCTGCCTTTATTTCCTTTCTGCAGGGAGCCAGTTAGTCAGGGTGGTTACCATGTGCAAGCTCTGGATGCAGAACATGGAATTGATTAGAGAGAAACTTGTAATTTTTTGACTTTGTTTTGTTTTTTTACTGTTGAATTTTAGTCTCTGTGGCAGTGAGGAGTGTGCAACTCAGGAGACCTGGGGATGGAGAGTGTGACTGAGTCCTCAGGTATCACTGAACCACCAAGGAGCAGGGGTCTCAGGACAGAGAAAGTGCTCAAAGAGTTGCAGGCATCAGAAAGGTTACACAGAGTCATTGTGGAGATAACATGAGAACCACGAAAATCTGTTGGATTTGACAATTTAAAAAAAATGTTGGTTTTAGTGGTGGGAGTTTAAAATAGTGTTAAAGTAACAAATGGGAATTTGAAGATGACAGCTCACGTAGTTTGAGTATATCCTGAAGCAGTTTCTACCCCTCTCCCCTGCCCAGTATTGGGCTTCACATTAAGCCTGTTTTTTTTTTTTTTTTTTAAATTTTGAGACAGGGTCTTGGTAAATTGCCCAAAGTGCACTCACATTTGTAATCCTCCTGCTTCAGCCTCCCAGAGTGCTGGGATTATAGGCACATGCCCCCATGCCTGCCATGCCTGTAACATTTTTAGTCAGTGAAAAAGTTGTCACTTGACTGAACAAGGATTTAGGGGAAGAATTTTTGTGATAGGTGGCTTGACTGTATTTATAAGCAAAGAAGAATGAGCTGGTAGATTCAGAAAAAATGTGAACAGGAAGATAGAATATGGTTTAGGAAGCCAGGTATGGTAGTGCACACCTATAATTCAACACTTGAGAGGCTGAAGTGGGAAGATCCCCTCAAGTTCAAGGCCAGCCTGGGTTTTATAGCAAGACCTGTCTTACACACACACACACACATTTGGGAGTAGCCACAGATTAAGTGAGGAAAATGTAAAACTGTCTTTGTAAATGACATGGTTTTGTATATGGAATAAAATCCTAAAATATGTATAAATTTAGAAAAATGTACAAACACTATTAGAATTAACCAGCAAATTTGAGAAGATTCAGAATGCGGGGCCAGTATACAAAAATTATTTGTGTATCTATACATTAGCAATGAAAACCCAAAAATGAAATTGAGGGAACTTGGTAGCTTCAAGATTTAAAAAATATATTCTTTAAGATTAAAAAAAAAGATACTTGGTAGCTTCA